TGGGGTGAATGGGGGTGAATGGGGATCAATGGGGCTCAATAGGGATGAATGGGGTTTAATGGGATCTATGGGGATCAATGGGGTCAATGGGTGTCAATGGGGTCAATGGGGATGAATGGGGGTCATGTGACCGCTGTTGGCCCCCCCCTGCAGGTGGAGTGCAACGCCAAGCTGGACCCGACCCAGACCTCCTTCCTCAAGGTGACCTTTGACCCCCGGACCATGTGACCCTGCCTGGCCACGCCCCCCCCCAATGTGACCTTTGACCCCTTTTTACAGATGGCGGACGGAGGGGGCCAGCCCCAGATCACACAGGTAAATGGGGGGGGGGAGGTCATGTGGGGTCAGAGGTCATGTGGGGGTATTGGGGTCAAGGGGGGTCAATGGGGTCAGTGGGGGTCAATAGGGATCAATGGGGACAATGGGGGTCAATGGGGGTCAATGGGGATCAATGGGGACAATGGGGGGCAAAGGAGATGAATGGGGTCAATGGGGACCAGTGGGGTCAATGGGAATGAATGGGGGTCAAAGGGATCTATGGGGTTGAATGGAATCAATGGGGTTGAATGGGGATCAATGGGGGTGAAGGGGGATCAATGGGGAGCAGTGGGGGTCAATGGGGATGAATGGGGTCAATGGGGAGCAATGGGGTCAATGGGGATGAATGGGGGTCAAAGGGGGTGAATAGGGGTCAATGGGGTCAATGGGGATGAATGGGAATCAATGGAGCTGAACGGGGTTCAATGGGGCTCAATGTGGTCAATGGGGCTGAATGGGGGTCAAGAGGGTCAATGGGGATTAATGGGATCTATGGGGTTGAATGTGGTCAATGGGGATGAATGGGAATCAATGGGGTTGAATGGGGTTCAATGGGGGTCAATGGGGATCAATGGGGTCAATGGGGATGAATGGGGGTCAAAGGGGGTGAATAGGGGTCAATGGGGATGAATGGGAATCAATGGGGCTCTATGGGGTCAATGGGGAGCAATGGGGTCAATGGGGTTGAATGGGGGTCAAAGGGGTCAATGGGGATCAGTGGGATCTATGGGGTTGAATGGGGTCAATGGGGATGAATGGGGGTCAATGGGATCAATGGGGAGCAGTGGGGTCAATGGGGATGAATGGGGATCAATTGGGTTGAATGGGGTCAATGGGGATCAATGGGGACAATGGGGTCAATGGGGATCAATGGGGATCAATGGGGATCAATGGGGGCCAATAGGAATGAATGGGAGCCAACAGAGGGGGCGTGGCTACGTCACGGCCACGCCCCCTCCCCTCTTCACCAATAGCCAGCCAGGCTGACCGAAGCCTTCAAGTACTTCGTGCAGGGAATGGGCTACAGTGAGTCCCCGCCCCTCATGAATATTAATGACCCTCCATGAATATTAATGAGCCCCACACCTCCCCAATTAACCCCACCCCTTATTAATTACCCCCCCGCCCCATAGCCCTTTAATGGGCTTCCCATTAACCCCTATGGGTTGGCCGAGGGGGGCGTGGCTTAGGGAGGGGTGGGCGTGGCTTAGGGAGGGGCCGGCTCCTTTAACCCCATTGGCTGGTGGTGGAAAGGGGGCGTGGTTTGGTTTCCAATGGCTGCTTATTAACACCATTGACTCCGGTGTGTTTGTGCTAAGGGGGCGTGGCTTACCATATAAGGGCATGGGATCGGCGCTGGGGGCGTGGCCTGGGCTGGCTCCCGTTAACCTCATTGGGTGCTGGGGCTACGGGGGCGTGGCCTATGCAGAGGGGGGCGTGGCTTGCCCATATAAGGGCATGGGTTAGGCACTGGGGGCGTGGCCTGGGCTGGCTCCCATTAACCCCATTTGATGCTGACGCTACGGGGGCGTGGCCTATGGGGAGGGGGTGTGGCTTACCATATAAGGGCATGGAATAAGAAGTGTGGGCGTGGCTTCATCTGGCTCCCATTGGGTGTCGGTGTTATGGGGGCACGGCCAATGGGAAGGGGGCGTGGCTTGGTTCCCATCAACCCTATTGGCTGCTCGTGCTATGGGGGCGTGGCCAATTGGGGGAGTGGCTTACCGTATAAGGGCATGGGTTAGGAGCTGTGGGCGTGGCTTGCTCTGGCTCCCATTGGGTGTTGATGCTATGGGGGCGTGGCTTGGCTCCCATTAACCCCATTGGGTGTCGACGCTATGGGAGGCGTGGCCAATGGGTTAGGGGCGTGGCTTGGCTCCCATTAACCCCATTGGGTGTTGGCGCTATGGGGGCGTGGCCAATGGGTAAGGGGCGTGGCTTGGTTTCCATTAACCCCATTGGGTGTTGGCGCTATGGGGGGCGTGGCCAATGTGGTGGGGGCGTGGCTTGGCTCCCATTAACCCCATTGGGTGTTGGTGCTATGGGAGGCGTGGCCAATGTGGTGGGGGCGTGGCTTGGCTCCCATTAACCCCATTGGGTGTCGGCGCAATGGGGGCGTGGCCAATGTGGGGGGGGCGTGGCTTGGCTCCCATTAACCCCATTGGGTGTTGCCGCTATGGGGGGCGTGGCCAATGTGGTGGGGGCGTGGCTTGGCTCCCATTAACCCCATTGGGTGTTGGCGCTATGGGAGGCGTGGCCAATGTGGTGGGGGCGTGGCTTGGCTCCCATTAACCCCATTGGGTGTTGCCGCTATGGGGGGCGTGGCCAATGTGGTGGGGGCGTGGCTTGGCTCCCATTAACCCCATTGGGTGTTGGCGCTATGGGAGGCGTGGCCAATGTGGTGGGGGCGTGGCTTGGCTCCCATTAACCCCATTGGGTGTCGGCGCTATGGGGGGCGTGGCCAATGAGGGGGGGCGTGGCTTAGAAGAGAAAGGCTGGCTCCCATTGACCGCAATGGGTGCCGGAGGGGGGGGGGGGCGTGGCTTCTTGGGGCGGGCTCCCTCCACCCCTATTGGCCCATAGGGGACAGAGGGGCGTGTCCTGAGGCCTGGCCACGCCCCCTTGCAGTGGCGGCCTCGGCTATGACGCGGCTCTCGCGCTCCCGCACGGCCTCGGTCTCGAGCTCCACATCCGGGGAGGGGGAAAGGGGGCGGAGCCGGACCCTGTCGAGGGGCAGCGTCGGGGGGGGGCCCACGGCCCCACAGTGAGGCCCCCCCATTGATCCCCATTGACACCCATTGAGCCCCATTGAGCACCCATTGAGCCCCATTGGCACCCATTGATCCCCATTGATCCTCATTGACACCCATTGAGCCCCATTGACATCCATTGAGCCCCATTGAGCACCCATTGAGCCCCATTGGCACCCATTGATCCCCATTGACCTCCATTGATCCTCATTGACACCCATTGAGCCCCATTGACATCCATTAAGCCCCATTAAGCCCCATTGAGCCCCATTGAACCCCACTGACCTCCATTGATCCCCATTGACCCCCATTGACACCCATTGAGCCCCATTGATCCCCATTGACATCCATTGAGCCCCATTGACACCCATTGTACCCCATTGACCTCCATTGATCCCCATTGACACCCATTGAGACCCATTGATCCCCAATGACATCCATTGACCCCATTGAACCCCACTGACACCCATTGAGACCCATTGATCCCCAATGACATCCATTGACCCCATTGAACCCCATTGACACCCACTGACACCCATTGATCCCCAATGCCATCCATTGACACCATTGACCCCACTGATACCCACTGAGCCCCACTGAACCCCACTGATCCCCATTGACACCCATTGAGCCCCATTGACAGACAGTGAGCACCCATTGATCCCCATTGATCTCCCATTGATCCCCATTGACCTCCATTGATCCTCATTGACACCCATTGAGCCCCATTGACATCCATTAAGCCCCATTAAGCCCCATTGAGCCCCATTGAACCCCACTGACCTCCATTGATCCCCATTGACCCCCATTGACACCCATTGAGCCCCATTGATCCCCATTGACATCCATTGAGCCCCATTGACACCCATTGTACCCCATTGACCTCCATTGATCCCCATTGACACCCATTGAGACCCATTGATCCCCAATGACATCCATTGACCCCATTGAACCCCACTGACACCCATTGACACCCATTGATCCCCAATGACATCCATTGACCTCCATTGATCCCCATTGACACCCACTGACACCCATTGATCCCCAATGCCATCCATTGACACCATTGACCCCATTGACACCCATTGAGCACCACTGACACCCATCGACATCCATAGAGCCCCATTGAGCCCCACTGAGCCCCATTGACACCCACTGACCCCACTGATCCCCATTGACCCCATTGATCCCCATTGACCCCCATTAACAACAAGTGTCCCCATACAACCCCCCTTAGACCCCTTTAAACACTCCTTAGACCCCTTTAAACCCCCAAATCCCCCCCTTAGACCCCTTTAAACCCCCAAATCCCCCCTTAGACCCCTTTAAACCCCCAAATCCCCCCCTTAGACCCCTTTAAACCCCAAATCCCCCCCTTAGACCCCTTTAAACCCCCAAATCCCCCCCTTAGACCCCTTTAAGACCCCAAATCCCCCCCTTAGACCCCTTTAAGACCCCAAATCCCCCCCTCAGACCCCTTTAAGACCCCAAATCCCCCCCTTAGACCCCTTTAAACCCCCAAATCCCCCCTTAGACCCCTTTAAACCCCCAAATCCCCCCCTTAGACCCCTTTAAACCCCCAAATCCCCCCCTTAGACCCCTTTAAACCCCCAAATCCCCCCCTTAGACCCCTTTAAGACCCCAAATCCCCCCCTTAGACCCCTTTAAACCCCCAAATCCCCCCTCAGACCCCTTTAAACCCCCAAATCCCCCCCTTAGACCCCTTTAAACCCCCAAATCCCCCCCTTAGACCCCTTTAAACCCCAAATCCCCCCCTTAGACCCCTTTAAGACCCCAAATCCCCCCTTAGACCCCTTTAAACCCCCAAATCCCCCCCTTAGACCCCTTTAAACCCCCAAATCCCCCCCTTAGACCCCTTTAAACCCCCAAATCCCCCCCTCAGACCCCTTTAAGACCCCCAAATCCCCCCTTAGACCCCTTTAAACCCCCAAATCCCCCCCTTAGACCCCTTTAAACCCCCAAATCCCCCCCTTAGACCCCTTTAAACCCCCAAATCCCCCCTTAGACCCCTTTAAACCCCCAAATCCCCCCCTTAGACCCCTTTAAATCCCCAAATCCCCCCCTTAGACCCCTTTAAGACCCCAAATCCCCCCCTTAGACCCCTTTAATCCCCCCAATCCCCCCCTTAGACCCCTTTAAGACCCCAAATCCCCCCCTTAGACCCCTTTAAACCCCCAAATCCCCCCTTAGACCCCTTTAAACCCCCAAATCCCCCCCTTAGACCCCTTTAAGACCCCAAATCCCCCCCTTAGACCCCTTTAAACCCCCAAATCCCCCCCTTAGACCCCTTTAAGACCCCAAATCCCCCCCTTAGACCCCTTTAAACCCCCAAATCCCCCCCTTAGACCCCTTTAAGACCCCAAATCCCCCCCTTAGACCCCTTTAAGACCCCAAATCCCCCCTTAGACCCCTTTAAACCCCCAAATCCCCCCCTTAGACCCCTTTAAGACATTTATACCCCTTTGGGGGGGGGGCCCTTAAACCCATTTATACCCCAAAATCCCCCTTTTTGGCCCCATTTTACCTCACTTTTGCCCATTAAAAAGCCGCGTCCGGTCCCTTTAAGCGCTGAGGTAAATGGCGGGCGGGCGGGGTGGGGGGGGGGCGACTGCGCATGCGCGGAGCCGCTCTTGCCCTCAGTGAGGGCGCGCTGCGTGCGTGATGACGCACTTCCGCCCTCAGTGGGCTGCGGCGCATGCGTGAAGGCGGCCATGGAGGCGTCAATGGGGTTCTATGGGGCGGTTATGGGGCCCAAAGGGGCACTTATGGGTCCAAAGGGGCACTTATGGGGCTAGAGGGGCACTTATGGGTCCCAAAGGGCACTTATGGGTCCAAAGGGGCACTTATGGGTCCAAAGGGGCACTTATGGGGCTAGAGGGGCACTTATGGGTCTGAAAGGGGCACTTATGGGTCTGAAAGGGGCACTTATGGGTCCCAAAGGGGCACTTATGGGGCTAGAGGGGCACTTATGGGTCTGAAAGGGGCACTTATGGGTCCCAAAGGGGCACTTATGGGGCTAGAGGGGTACTTATGGGGCCCAAAGGGGCACTTATGGGTCCAAAGGGGCACTTACGGGTCTAAAAGGGGCACTTATGGGTCTGAAAGGGGCACTTATGGGTCCATATGGGTCCATAATGGGTACTTATGGGGCTAGAGGGGCACTTATGGGTCTGAAAGGGGCACTTATGGGTCTAAAAGGGGCACTTATGGGGCTAGAGGGGCACTTATGGGTCCCAAAGGGCACTTATGGGTCTGAAAGGGGCACTTATGGGTCCCAAAGGGGCACTTATGGGTCCAAAGGGGCACTTATGGGTCTGAAAGGGGCACTTATGGGTCCATAATGGGTACTTATGGGGCTAGAGGGGCACTTATGGGTCTGAAAGGGGCACTTATGGGGCTAGAGGGGCACTTATGGGTCCCAAAGGGGCACTTATGGGTCCCAAAAGGGCACTTATGGGGCTTGAGGGACATTTATGGGTCCACAGGGGCACTTATGGGGCTAGAGGGGCACTTATGGGGCTGAAAGGGGCACTTGTGGGTCCCAAAAGGGCACTTATGGGGCTGGAGGGACATTTATGGGTCCAAAGGGGCACTTATGGGGCTAGAGGGGCACTTGTGGGTCCCAAAAGGGCACTTATGGGGCTGGAGGGACATTTATGGGTCCAAAGGGGCACTTATGGGGCTAGAGGGGCACTTATGGGTCCCAAAGGGCACTTATGGGGCTAGAGGGGCACTTATGGGGCTAGACGGGCACTTATGGGTCCCAAAGGGCACTTATGGGGCTAGAGGGGCACTTATGGGTCTGAAAGGGGCACTTATGGGTCTGAAAGTGGCACTTATGGGTCCCAAAGGGGCACTTATGGGTCCAAAGGGGCACTTATAGGTCCCAAAGGGGCGTTTATGGGTCCAAAATGGGCACTTATGGGTCTAACAAAGGCACTTATGGGTCCAAAGAGTCACTTACAGGTCCCAAAGGGGCACTTATGGGTCTAAAAGGGGCACTTATGGGTCTAAAAGGGGCACTTATGGGTCCCAAAGGGGCACTTATGGGGCTAGAGGGGCACTTATGGGTCTAAAAGGGGCACTTATGGGTCCATAATGGGTACTTATGGGGCTGGAGGGGCACTTATGGGTCCATAATGGGTACTTATGGGGCTGGAGGGGCACTTATGGGTCCCAAAAGGATGCTTATGGGTCCCAAGGGTCACTTATGGGTCTAAAAGGGGCACTTATGGGTCTAAAAGGGCACTTATGGGTCCCAAAGGGGCACTTATGGGTCTAAAAGGGACACTTATGGGTCCAAAGGGGTACTTATGGGTCTAAAAAGGGGTGCTTATGGGTCCCAAAGGGCACTTATGGGTCCAAAAAGGGCACTTATGGGTCTAAAAGGGGCACTTATGGGTCTAAAAGGGGCACTTATGGGTCCCAAAGGGGCACTTATGGGTCCCAAAGGGGCACTTATGGGTCTAGAAGGGGCACTTATGGGTCTAAAAGGGGCACTTATGGGTCCCAAAGGGGCACTTATGGGTCCCAAAGGGGCACTTATGGGTCCAAAGGGGCACTTATGGGGCTAGAGGGGCACTTATGGGTCCCAAAGGGCACTTATGGGTCCATAATGGGTACTTATGGGGCTAGAGGGGCACTTATGGGTCCCAAGGGGGCACTTATGGGTCTAAAAGGGGCACTTATGGGTCCAAAAGTGGTGCTTATGGGTCTAAAAAGGGGCACTTATGGGTCCAAAAGTGGGGCTTATGGGTCCCAAAGGGGCACTTATGGGTCCCAGAGGGTCACTTATGGGTCCCAGAGGGTCACTTATGGGTCCCAAAGAGTCACTTATGGGTCCCAAAGGGCCATTTATGGGTCCCCAAGGGGCACTTATGGGTCTAAAAGGCCACTGATGGGTCCCAAAGGGGCCCATAGAGGCCTCAGTCCTCCAGAGCAGACGAGTGGGGCCAGAGCGGTGCTGGGGGGCGGGGCTTGGTCCTCCAAGATGGCCGCCGGCGCAGGAAGTGCTCCAGGTCGATGGCGCGAGCGACGCGGCGGCCGTAGGGGTCGCGCTGCAGCGCCCCCTGCTGGGCGGCTGTGGGGTGGGAGGACTCAAGGGGAGGGAGGGCAAGAAAAGGCCCCAAAACTGGACCAAAACCACCCAAAATCTGCCTTAAAAACATTGATTCCACCTTAAAATGCCCCAATTCCACCTTAAAAGCATCGAGTCCACCTTAAAACGCCCCGATTCCACCTTAAAAGCATCGATTCTGCCTTAAAACGCCCCATTTCCACCTTAAAACCCTCAAATTCCACCTTAAATGTCCCAATTCCACCTTAAAACCCTCAAATTCCACCTTAGATGTCCCATTTCCACCTTAAACCACCCACATTCCACCTTAAAAGCATCGATTCCACCTTAAAATGCCACAATTCCACCTTAAAACCCTCAAGTTCCACCTTAAAATGCCCCGATTCCACCTTGAAAGCATCGATTCCACCTTAAAATGCCCCAATTCCACCTTAAAATGCCCCGATTTCACCTTAAAAGCATCGATTTCACCTTAAAACACCCCAATTCCACCTTAAAATGCCCCAATTCCACCTGAAACCCAATTCCACCTTAAAAGCATCGATTCCACCTGAAAATGCCCCACCTTAAATCACCCCCATTCCACCTTAAATCACCCCAGTTCCACCTTAAAACCCGCAAATTCCACCTTAAATGTCCCAATCCCACCTTAAATCACCCCATTCCACCTCAATCCCCCCAATTCCACCTTAACCCCCCAATTCCACCTTAACACCCCCCATTCCACCTTAAATCACCCCCATTCCATGTTAAATCACCCCAAATTCCACCTTAAATCACCCCCATTCCACCTTAAACCATCCAATTCCACCTTAAAATCCCCAAATTCCACCTTAAACCCCCCAATTCCACCTTAAACCACCACAATTCCACCTTAAACCCCCCAAATTCCACCTTAAAACCCCCAAATTCCACCTTAAACCACACCAATTCCACCTTAAACCACCCCAATTCCACCTTAAAACCCCCAAATTAAAACCCCCAAATTCCACCTTAAACCACCCCAATTCCACCTTAAACCCCCAAATTCCACCTTAAACCCCCCAAATTCCACCTTAAATCACCCCCATTCCACCTTAAACCCCCCAATTCCACCTTAAACCCCCCAAATTCCACCTTAAAACCCCCAAATTCCATCTTAAAACCTCCCAAATTCCACCTTAAACCCTCCCAATTCCACCTTAAATCACCCCCATTCCACCTTAACCCCAATTCCACCTTCAAGCACCCAATTCCACCTTAAAACCCCCCAATTCCACCTTAAACCCCCCCAATTCCACCTTAAATCACCCCCATTCCACCTTAAAATCCCCAATTCCACCTTAAAGCACCCCAAATTCCACCTTAAACCCCCCAAATTCCACCTTAAACCCCCAAATTCCACCTTAAAACCCCCCCAATTCCACCTTAAATCACCCCAATTCCACCTTAAAACCCCCCAATTCCACCTTAAAACCCCCCAAATTCTAACTTAAACCCCCCAATTCCACCTTAAACCACCACAATTCCACCTTAAACCCCCCAAATTCCACCTTAAAACCCCCAAATTCCACCTTAAAACCCCCCCATTCCACCTTAAACCCCCCAATTCCACCTTAAAACCCCCAAATTACACCTTAAACCACCACAATTCCACCTTAAATCACCCCAATTCCACCTTAAAACCCTCCAATTCCACCTTAAACCACCCCAATTCCACCTTAAATCACCCCAAATTCCACCTGAAAACCCCCCAAATTCCACCTTAAACCACCCCAATTCCACCTTAAACCCCCCAAATTCCACCTTAAACCCTCCCAAATTCCACCTTAAAACCCCCCAATTCCACCTTAAAACCCCCCAATTCCACCTTAAAACCCCCAAATTCCACCTTAAACCACCCCAATTCCACCTTAAATCACCCCCATTCCACCTTAAAACCCCCCAATTCAACCTTAAACCCCCAATTCCACCTTAAACCCCCAAATTCCACCTTAACCCCCCCAAGTCCACCTTAAATTACCCAAATTCCACCTTAAACCCCCCCAATTCCACCTTAAAACACCCCCATTTAACCTTAACCCCCCCCATTCCACCTTAAACCCCCAATTCCACCTTAAATCACCCCCATTCCACCTTAAACCCCCCCATTCCACCTTAAATCACCCCCATTCCACCTTAAACACCCCAATTCCACCTTAAAACCCCCCAATTCCACCTTAAATCACCCCAAATTCCACCTTAAACCCCCCAAATTCAATCTTAAAACCCCCAAATTCCACCCTAAATCACCCCCATACCACCTTAAACCCTCCCAAATTCCACCTTAAATCACCCCAATTCCACCTTAAACCCCCCCCAATTCCACCTTAACCCCCCCAATTCCACCTTAAATCACCCCCATTCCACCTTAAACCCCCCAATTCCACCTTAAAACCCCCCCATTCCACCTTAAACCCCCCAATTCCACCTTAAATCACCCCCATTCCACCTTAAGAGCCCCCATTCCACCTTAAGAGCCCCCATTCCACCTTAAGAGCCCCCATTCCACCTTAAGAGCCCTCACCCAGCTCACTGGCGATGACCTCCCGTGTGGGGCCGGAGGCCGAGGCCCACGCGGCCTCGAGGACGCGGCTGCCGCTGCGGTGGCAGGCGAGGGCCGCCCAGTGCCCCTGCAACAGAGCCAGAACAGCCCCGTTCCACCTTAAAACCGCCCCCAAACGGGTTAAAATGCCCCAAAAAGGGCTTCAAACACCCCAATTCCACCTTAAAACGCTCAAATTCCACCTTAAACCATCCCAAAATGGGTTAAAATGCCCAAGTTCCACCTTAAAACACCCCAAATTCCACCTTAAAACACTCCTAAATGGGTTGATGCCCCAATTCCACCTTAAAACACCCCAAATTCCACCTTAAAACACTCCCAAATGGGTTAAAATGCCCCAATTCCACCTTAAAACACCCCAAAATGGGTTAAAATGCCCCAATTCCACCCTAAAACACCCCAAAATGGGTTAAAATGCCCCAATTCCACCTTAAACCACCCCAAAATGGGTTAAAATGCCCCAATTCCACCTTAAAACACCCCAAATTCCACCTTAAACCATCCCAAAATGGGTTAAAATGTCCCAATTCCACCTTAAAAAACCCCAAATTTCACCTTAAAACACTCCCAAATGGGTTAAGATGCCCGTTCCACCTTAAAACGCCCCAAATTCCACCTTAAAACACCCCAAAATGGGTTAAAATGCCCAAATTCCACCTTAAAACACCCCAAATTCCACCTTAAAACACTACCAAATGGGTTAAAATGCCCCAATTCCACCTTAAAACACCCCAAAATGGGTTAAAATGCCCCAATTCCACCTTAAAACACCCCAAATTCCACCTTAAAACACTCCCAAATGCGTTAAGATGCCCCAATTCCACCTTAAAACACCCCAAAATGGGTTAAAATGCCCCAATTCCACCTTAAAACACCCCAAATTCCACCTTAAAACACTCCCACATGGGTTAAAATGCCCAAGTTCCACCTTAAAACACCCCAAAATGGCTTAAAATGCCCCAATTCCACCTTAAAACACCCCAAAATGGGTTAAAATGCCCCAATTCCACCTTAAAACACCCCAAATTCCACCTTAAAACACTCCCAAATGCGTTAAGATGCCCCAATTCCACCTTAGAACACCCCAAAATGGTTTAAAATGCCCGTTCCACCTTAAAACACCCCAAATTCCACCTTAAAACACTCCCAAAAGGGTTAAAATGCCCCAATTTCACCTTAAAACACCCCAAAATGGGTTAAAATGCCCCAATTCCACCTTAAAACACCCCAAAATGGGTTTGGATGTAAAAGGGCCGGTTTTGGGTGTAGAAGGGCCATTTTTGGGTGTAAAAAGCGCCATTTTTGGGTGTAAAAGCGGCGGGTTTGGGTGTAGAAGGCCCGTTTTTGGGTGTAGAAAGGCCGTTTTTGGGTGTAGGTGGCCCGTTTTTGCGTGTAAAAGGGCCGCTTTTGGGGGTAGAAAGGCTGGTTTTGGGTGTAAAAGGGGTGTTTTTGGGTGTAAAAGGGATGGTTTTGGGCGTAGAAGCCCCGTTTTTGGGTGTAAAAGGCCCGTTTTGGGGTGTAAAAGGCCCGTTTTGGGGTGTACAAGGGCCATTTTTGGGTGTAGAAACCCCGTTTTTGGGTGTAAAAGGGCCATTTTTAGGTGTAAAAGGGGCGTTTTTGGGTGTAAAAGGGCCATTTTTGGGTGTAAAAGGGGCGGTTTTGGGTGTAAAAGGGCCATTTTTGGGTGTAAAAGGCCCGTTTTTGGGTGTAAAAGGCCCATTTTTGGGTATAGAAACCCTGTTTTTTGGTGTAAAAGGGCCATTTTTGGGTGTAAAAGGGCGTTTTTGGGTGTAAAAGGGCCATTTTTGGGTGTAGAAGCCCCGTTTTTGGGTGTAAAAGGCCCATTTTTGGGTATAGAAACCCTGTTTTTTGGTGTAAAAGGGCCGTTTTTGGGTGTAAAAGGGGCGGTTTTGGGTGTAAAAGGGCCATTTTTGGGTATAGAAACCTCGGTTTTGGGTGTAAAAGGGGCGTTTTTGGGTGTAAAAGGGGCGTTTTGGGGTGTAAAAGGCCCGTTTTTGGGTATAGAAACCCCATTTTTGGGTGTAAAAGGGCCGTTTTTGGGTATAGAAACCCCGGTTTTGGGTGTAAAAGGGCCGGTTTTGGGTGTAGAAACCCCATTTTTGGGTGTAAAAGGGGCGTTTTTGGGTGTAAAAGGGGCGTTTTTGGGTGTAGAAAGGCTGTTTTTGGGTGTAGAAAGGCCATTTTTGGGTGTGAAAGGGGCATTTCTGGGTGTAAAAGGGCCGTTTTTGGGTGTAAAAGGGGCGTTTTTGGGTGTAAAAGGGCCGGTTTTGGGCGTAGAAGTCCCGTTTTTGGGTGTAGAAAGGCCGTTTTTGGGTATAGAAACCCCGTTTTTGGGTGTAAAAGGGCCATTTTTGGGTATAGAAGCCCCATTTTTGGGTGTAAAAGGGCCGTTTTTGGGTGTAGAAAGGCCGTTTTTGGATGTAGAAACCCCGTTTTTGGGTATAAAAGGGCCATTTTGGGGTATAGAAACCCCGTTTTTGGGTGTAAAAGGGCCGCTTTTGGGTGTAAAAGGGTCGTTTTTGGGTGTAGAAAGGCTGTTTTTGGGTGTAAAAGGGCCGTTTTTGGGTGTAGAAAGGCCGTTTTTGGATGTAGAAACCCCGTTTTGGGGCGTAAAAGGGCCGTTTTTGGGTGTAAAAGGCCCGTTTTTGCGTGTAGAAAGGCCTTTTTTGGTGAAGAAGGGGCGTTTTTGGGTATAGAAACCCTGTTTTGGGGTGTAGAAGCCCCGTTTTTGGGTGTAAAAGGCCCATTTTTGGGTATAGAAACCCCATTTTTGGGTGTAAAAGGGGCGTTTTTGGGTGTAAAAGGGCCATTTTTGGGTGTAGAAGCCCCGTTTTTGGGTGTAAAAGGGGCGTTTTTGGGTGTAAAAGGGGCGTTTTTGGGTGCGTTACCTGAAGGCGCCGCAGGAGGCGCTGTCGGAGGGCTCCGGGCACGCAGGGGGATCCCAGCAGCGCCCCCCAAAGTCGGGGTCCGGGGGGGGCCCGGGCCAGGGCGAGGAGAGCGGGGGGGGGCAGCGCCCGCAGCGCCCCCAGCAGCGGGGCCGGGGCCTGGAAGTGCAGCGTGTGCTGGAGGAGCTGCGAGCCCCCCGGGAGCAGCTGCAATGGGGGGAAAGGGGGGAGAAATGGGGGAAAATGGGGGGAAATGGTTAAAAATGGGGGGAAATTGGTTAAAAATGGGGGGAAATGGGTTAAAAATGGGGGGAAATGGGGGAAATTGGTTAAAAATGGGGGGAATTGGGGGAAATGGGGGGAAATGGGGGAAAAATGGGGGAAAAATGGGGGAAAAATGGGGGAAAAATGGGGGGAAATGGGGGGAAATGGGTTAAAAATGGGGGGAAATGGGGGGAAATGGGTTAAAAATGGGGGGAAATGGGGGGAAATGGGGGGAAAGGGAAAATGGGGGAAAATGAGGGGAAATGGGGGAAAAATGGGGGAAATCAGTTAAAAATGGGGGAAATGGGGGAAATGGGGGAAATGGGGTAGAAATGGGGGGAAATGGGGGAAAATGGGGGGAAATGGGGGGAAAGGGGGTAAAAATGGGTTAAAAATGGGGGAAATGGATTAAAAATGGGGAAAATGGGGGAAAATAGGGGGAATGGGTTAAAAATGGGGGAAATCGGTTAAAAATGGGGGGAAATGGGGGAAAATGGGAAATCGGTTAAAAATGGGGGGAAATGGGGGAAATGGGGGAAAAATGGGGGAAAAATGGGGGAAAAATGGGTTAAAAATGGGGGGAAATGGGGGAAAATGGGGGAAAATGGGGGAAATCGGTTAAAAATGGGGGGAAATGGGGGGAAATGGGTTAAAAATGGGGGGAAATGGGGGAAATGGGGGAAAAATGGGGGGAAATGGGGGAAATTGGTTAAAAATGGGTTAAAAATGGGGGGAAATGGAAATCGGTTTAAAATGGGGGGAAATGGGGGGAAATCGGTTTAAAATGGGGGGAAATGGGGGAAATTGGTTAAAAATGGGGGAAATTGGGGAAAAATGGGGGGAAATGGGGTAAAAATGGGGGAAATGGGTTAAAAATGGGGGAAATGGGTTAAAAATGGGGGAAATGGGTTAAAAATGGGGGGAAATGGGTTAAAAATGGGGGAAATGGGGGAAATTGGTTAAAAATGGGGGGAAATTGGTTAAAAATGGGGGGAAATGGGTTAAAAATGGGGGAAATGGGGTAAAAATGGGAAATCGGTTAAA